ATACAAACAATGCATATTAGAGGAGACAGAAACGCTGGTCACCTGCACGATGACACGTTGAATATATGTATAGAATTATCAAATATGCATCAATGAAAAACTTTAAAAAGAAAATATAAGAGAGAAGAAAGGATAAATGTCAGCAGTTTCAAAGACAATGTGTTTTCTTTTTCTGACATTTTAACTGAAAGTAAACATTCAAATAATTTTTTTAAAATAAAAGTTCCATGGTAGGAAAAGAGTTTGAGTTTATAAACAATAATTATAACACCAAAAAGAGGTATACTCAGATTATAATAGTTATCTAATGTCTGCACAAGCCGACCTGGACGCCCCCCCAGATGGACGGAGTCCACATCTGCACTGTGACAAGCTCCTGCCCTGAAGGCAGGAAGCACTTTTGTGCTGTTTACGCCTGCCCTGACACACAGACCCTAACTGCTCTGCTGGCGAATGACTCTCTGCACGCCTCAAGGTCCCACTCTTCAAGGTGAGGTCCACTCTGACCTAGTAAATATTATTTCAGTAGCAAAAGTAGAAACAACACAGCAGCGTCTGTTAATAAGTGAGAAACTGAAACGTCTAAGAAAAAAAATTCCTTCTGACTAAGAAGCATTCCACTGTCGCTCATCTCACTTTGCTTCCATTGGTAAAAATAAGCTGAGCAGACGTGTGCTTCGGGCCCTAATCGCACACTGACTTTCTTGAGCTAACGGCCTTGCCAGGAGAGTGCAAGCTGCTTGGGACAGAACCAAGCCCTGCCATACTGGGAAAGAGCCGGCATGTGCCACATCACAGGGGGCCTCGGCCTGTACCCGGTGCAGACCTCAAGTACTCAGAACTAGGGTGACACAAGCCCGAGATTCAAGCAGACTCTCTTAGCAAGGGCATCTGAGTAGGATCCTCCCCGGGAAACCAGACATCACAAGATGACACCCCTAAGTCCTGCACAGTGGGAAGCTAGTCAAAAGATACTACTGGTCTCAGTTCTGCAACTTCCAGAGAGGAGCTTCCAAACCTTAAAGTAATTCTCTTTTCCCTTCTTGGGGGAGGCCTATTGCTGAAAATTCCTGACAACTAGTGGCAGCCAAAACTTAAATGCAAAAATTCCAAGTTCTTAACTGTTCACCTTGACATCGGAGTTCAGACAATGTACAGGCTGGCAGGTACGTGTCTTCAGACCTGTTACACAGTGTCAGCATTTTCCTAGGCAAACCTGTCACTCAGTTTCAGAAAATTCATTTAAGTCAAACAAACAGAAAAAACAAACAAACAAACAAACAAATATTTCCCATCTTGTTAAGTATTCCTGATCAGAGTAAATAAAGTTTTATCTTATCATTGTGTTTTCTGTGAGGAAACTTCTGTTCTTTTTTTAGATTTGGAGAAATGCTTTTCCTGACAGAACCCTTGAGCTGAGAGACCCGAACTGCAATCTCCTCGTCCTTTGTCCGAGCTGTTTACAAGCCTTATCAGCGACCACGTGGCTTGGCAATGTGATTCAGAGATACAAAGTCCCAAAGATAGAATTAGATGTTTTCTCCCCAGAAATATCTCCCAATGCCATTAAAATCTATTTGCTGTTTTCCCACGTTATCCTTGAAGTGGCTCCACAATTGCTAGCTCTTTAATCAGTTTCTTTCAAGTAAATAAGAAAAGCATAACTTGGCATTGAAGAAAAATGCATTCTTTCAGATAAACTACTGAAAATACTGACCTTATCTCAAAAGTCCTAACCATGACATCCCAATAAACACATTTTTCTTTATCAGCAACATAATTCTTAAAGCTTATTGCAGAATAAATACAAAGAAAGTAATTTTATGAGTTAACTATGAATGGTAAGTGGTAGCAAAAAGCATCCAAAGCCAGTTACCACGGTGTGAGTTTTCCAGGTTACCTTGCTAAGGTGCTTAGCTCAATTCTGAATAGAGGACATGAAAGAACAAGGGTAGGAAGTCACAAATGTGTATCTGATGTGCTGTCAGCAAATACTTTCTAGCCTAAAGAAGTCCTAGGAAAGTACAGTACTGAGTTTTTGTTTTGTTTTTTCACTAAACTCCATTATCGCCAGACATCAATTTTGCAAAAATCTTCTACTGCCACCTGCTGGTGTTTTACAGTCAAAGTGACTGAAAGGTGCTAGGAGACAGATTCCAGACTACAACACTGTGTTGTTGACTTTTCATGTTAACATTGTTTTAATGGGACGCGTCAGCAGCACACAATGTTAACACTCGCCGTGTGACGTTAGGTCATGCACACAGCCCGCCTTCATCCCTTCTGCCACCTCCTCTCTCCCCTTTTCTCCATGCCTCTGACTTTTAAAGCAACTTTTTGGGGTTTTTTTCTACCTTGCTCTAGCTATGGATATAAATACAATAAATTACATGTAATTAACTAGGGTTTAATATTTTACACATTTTTAGAGTAGAGAAGTAGCGGCAAGCTTCACATATTCTCTTGACTACTTGATTCACTGACATAATACTCCACATCGTTCCAACATTTGGAAGTCAAGGATTAACGCGCTTCCATTTCATTCCTTTCTCACAAAAATCATCTGAGTTCTGGGTCAGCAATCCTGACAGGAAGCCGTGAGGTCTGGGGACCCGATCTGCACAGTGCTCACAACCCAAACGCTTGGGATAACCACAAGCACAGACTAGTCCTCTGTTCTTTTACCTTCGGTTGTCTAGTGACAGCCCTAAGGATGGCACCGTCACCCGCATGGAGGGTCCCTAGCTAGAGACCCACGGCCAGAACGGCAGGCGCTCCCACCGCAAGGTGCTGTGACTGGGGCTGGAAACATGGCTTCCACACTTAGGGAGGGGAGGGGCCTGTGCCGCTGCAATCCGTTCATCTCTTAGTTTCCAGTGTCTAAGCTGTCTGAGCTTTTCTTTGCTAACCTATTTCACGTCCGATGTAACACAATATTTTTTAAGCCAAACCACTCGATCTATTCTAAAAGCATACATTTAGCTAGTCATTTCCTCCAAAATCAGTGTTAAGTATAATGTGATTCAGAAAAGCATGGCCTGGAAGTACACCTTGTGGCTCTTTCTCTCCCATCCCCAGACTCAAGGGAAGCTGTCTGCCAGGATGCTGAAGAGCCGTCTGTAATTCTTTGTGCTATAATTAAGTCTGGAGCAAATCCTGCTGCCAAGATCTCGCCAACAAGGGTGGCCAACACAGCCAGGCCGCTCTAATTACAGAAGGCCAAGAGCTCATGCCCAGCAAGGGAAGGTGAGACTCAACAGCCGAGGCAGGACGCTGAGGCATCGGAAACCGCCTCGACACATCAAAGCTGCCCCCTCCTGCAGGCCACAGCTGGCCAGACACATCACCCAGCCCTCCCCCTGCACACGGGCGGGCGCTTCACTGTTCCGCAGAACAGGAAGCTATGAGGTACACGGGTCACATTCACTCCTGAGACAAAGAAAGGGGCGTGGTGGCAACGTCCATTTTATGATAATTTTCCATTTTATGTTTCGGCTCCTCCACTAACGTCATGTTTTAAAAATTCTGCTCTGAGTTCAATAAAGTACATATTAGCACTATGAAAAACAGTGCGCAAAGGGCTGGCCAGATAGCTCAGCGGAGTAAAGTGCCTGCCTAGGCAGAGCACACTGGCTGGGGTTCGAGCCCCAGTGTGCCGTGCTGACCATGCTCTCGGGGTGCACTGAGACTGGGTGTGGTGGCACACACCTGTAATCCCAGAGCTTGGGAGGCTGAAAACAGGAGGATCACTATGAGTCCGATCTACATAGTGAGACCCTGTACTAAAATACATTTTAAAAAAAGAAAGAAAACGCGCAAACCCTGAGTGTGCAGCACAACACGCACAGACATGGGCTGCCTGCTAGTAACCAGGCCCCAAGGAGAACGGCGCTGTCCACAAGCTGCCCCAGGAAAGCGGCTTTCGTCTTCTGAGAGCATCTGTACTTCCAGCCTTGCAGAAGTGATTATGCTTCCATCTTTTTGCCTCTACAAATGTCTGCGATCTTCTTTGTCCTCACCGAAAATGCACAAATGCTCACTCCTCTGAGTAGCAGCTCAGAAACGTCCCGCCTGGGGAGACTTCCTGATGCCAGACGACAAAGGCCTCACGCATCCCCAGTCCTCTGGAAACCATCACTGCGGGGGTGGGTCCTCTGCGCACCGGCCCACTCCTCCAGCCCGCCCACTGGCACCACGGGGCAGGAAAGGCATTTCACCTCACCTCTAGATCTGCCCCTGTGCTGCCACTGAGCCCTCAGCCGCACTCTAAACTGCATGCCAGCAAGTAATTTCAGCTTTGCTTTTCACACTACTTCTTCTAGGATAGAACACTGAACAATTTTTCAAAAGAAAATGTTCTTCCAAAGTATACTGTATGTTATTACATAAAGCAACACATATTATCCAGAAGCTTTAATGTATGCATTTTTTTTTTTTTCCTTTTTTGAGACAGGCTATCATTATGTAGTTCAGGCTGGTCTTGAACTTACTGCAATCCCCTTGCCTCAGCCTCCTGAGTACTGTTACTACCGGCATGTACCACCACACCTGGCCTTTCTTCATTTTCTCAGTGCTGGGGATTGAACTCAGACCCTTACGCATGCTAAGCACACGATACACTGATGCGCTATCCCCTCTGACCTGTACAGAACATCTGAGTGTCTCTTTACGAAGAATGTATCACTCAGCATATTTATTGAAACAGATTAAACAGCATTTATTAATACACACAGCAAAATATTTAGCAAGTATTAATTAACAGTAGGATATTTCGTGACATGGAGCCATTTTCTTGAATCTGAAAGAAGTCACAACATACAGAGTGGAGGCCTGATATTCTCGGTCTCACATCCCACCCTCCTTGTCTGGCCTCTTCGGAAAACAAAACAAGCTTATCCTAACTAAGCAGAGGTCTCCTGACACAGACATGTGGCTCAGGGGCCGGAGGAGGTGGAACGCGAGCAGCACCTCTCGGTGAGCAGAACCCAGGGCTCTCCTACCTGCGTCCCCAGGCTGGCGGTCAGCATGTGAGTCAGGAGCTTCGCCGCAAACATGGAGCACCTGGTGCAGAAGGTGTGAGACAGGATGGCCAGGCCGAGCCCTGCGAACACAGGAGGTGGTGAGAGGTCAGCACATGGAGGGACCATGTCTGGGACAAAAAATAAAAGGGTTAGGGATGCGGCTAAGTGTGAATGTCCTGGGTTCATTACCAGAACTGCAAAGAAAGCAAAAGATGTATGTTTCCAAGAGAAGGAGGAAAAGCACACCTGTCATTTCTAAGTTTACTTGATTTTAGCTGTTCTCACCACTGCACGGAATGGTTAGAACCTCAGCACCAACCTGCCATCTGTGTCTTGTAAGTCTCATACATTTCTTTTAATGCTGGAGTTTGATGACAGAACATACACATATCATGAGAATATTTCCTACCTTTTAAATTTAAATATGCTGCATATTGGAAACCTTTTTCCTC